ATGGTTGTGACTTTGTGTGCCGTTCTAAACCCCGAAATGTGCCTGCTACATATCGTGGTGTGGGGGATGATCAGCTGGGGGAGGATTCAGAAGAAAGGGATGATCATTTACTACCAATGTGAATGCACTTTATACGCCCGGCTTCTTCAGTCCCCCAAACCAAAGCATACTCAGCCAGATTTCTTAAGCAGTCTATTGCAGCCTCTCATCTCACCCTAAATGTTGCTCTTGCTTTCAGTTTGCTTTTGGTTTACATCCTTTTCTCACTATAGAAATGCTTTCCCTTTGTTCCCTATTTTTGTTTTTCCCTCTAGAGAGGTACTATAAGGCCTGTGACAAAAGGCACTATGTCTTGGTATAGGAAGGTACATGTAGGACTAGTTATGAGCAAAAGCATGTGGCAGATTTGCTGGCCTTTTCAAACACATTTTCACAAGTTTTTGAGACACTGGAATTCTTTTGAAAAAAGGAAAGAAACATTATTTATACACGGTTTGATTGCTTTCATGCTCATAGTCTCCATGAGAATTCGCATGTAAGTTCCTGCTGCTTGAAACTACTTTGCAGTCAATACTTGGTCGTAGTCCAAGTAGTCATTTGGTCTGAACCTGGGGACGTAGTAGACCTGCTTCTCCCACCTGTGGGGTTAGGATTGGAAAAGTGAAATTTCCCAGTTAGAGGAGTATAAGGTACCATCACATCATTCATTGGCATTTTAGTAACTTTGTAGCTGGAATTGGCCCTCGATTGTGGTCTTGCAGTTACTAGTCCACATGTAGCCAAAATGCCTAACCCGCAGGTCTGGTCATTAAATAAGGAAACTGAAAGTGATCTCTCCCACTTGCAGTAAAGGTTGGTAAAGCCTTTCTTACCAGTGTTTCTAAACAGGTAGCACTTTCTTCACAGGCTTGTCATTTTGACTTTATTTTTTCAATCTTCTGGAAAGGGAATGGAGGTAGAAGCAGGACATCTAGGGCTCTGCATTCTCTGCTCTAGGCATGGGATTCTACTATGCCTGTCCCTGCTTCTGGCTCAGGGAAGTATCTTCTTGCCCACATTTCTGTGGGGAGTTTTTAATGCTCTCCACCTTTCTATTTAGGCCATGTGCCCAGAAACCTGGCCTGATCTTTATTTAATAGTGAACCTGTGCCATTGAAGAGTAACCTGGCTCCATGGGGCACCAGAGGATGGAATTAACAGGCAGGGGCCTTTTACAGCCTTAGAGGAGAAAATGATATTATTTCATCCTTGGACTTTTAAATACTGTTGGAATGACTTTTTTCTTTATAAACAAGGGAAAATAATGTTACAGAAAACATCTTTTTGTTATTTGTTCGCACCCCTCCCCACACTCTAGTGTTTTAAAAATGGGAAGAAAAAAACCTAACATTTTTGTACAAAAACACTTGATTAAAAACAAAAACAAAAAAAACATATTGGCCTAGTCATTTGTGTGAAAGAAGGTAGAGACTAAAGACACTGGATTAGAGTAAGAGACAACTGAGACCAATTTTTATCCTTTTACTGAAGAGGAAAAAAATATTGAATATTTTTGTTGTATAAGGAATAGCGCCTAAGGCAGGCATTTATCTCCTGACCTCAGCTCCACACACTCCTGTTTTATAAAGCTATTGGACACAGCAGAGTTGGAACTAAAAAGGTAGAAGACGTCAGATAAATTGGAAGGGAGTAGGGAGGATACAGGAAGAATGACAACAGCCACATGTGTGCCAAACACTTAGTCCCTGCAGCAAATCAGAGTGATGCCAGCCAAGTGCCCACACTAGCTGGTGAGCCTGCCATGGATGGAGGAGAAAATGTTCAATAGCAAGGGAGGGGATGATGACAAAGAAAACTGGGCCATAGCTACAGTCCGACAATCCAGAGGGAGTATTGGATTTTACCGCTTGTGTCAAGCTAGAACCCTCCTCCTCCCATTGGGGAGGTACACCTACCTTCCACTCATTTCCTTGCCTTGCCATACTTCTTGGAGAACTAAGTCCCTGGCTACCCCACTCCAGAAAAAGGCTGAGCAGTACTAGTTCTCTATAGAGTTCATTTTTATAAAGATTGGATTAGGGTAGGTGAAAATGGTAAGAACTGTAAAGATTTTAGAAAATAAAGTAGAACCCAGAGAAAATGTCCAAGCTCCACCATGTAGCACCAGCAACCAATTCTTGCACATTCTTTCCCTGTCTTAGAAATCCCCTCCACAGATTTATGTAATTGGAAAAGTTATTTATTCCCTGTAAAGTCTGCGAGCACCAGGCAGGTTATAGCCTGGACAGTGGGGAGTGTCTGCCTTAGGCTGCTTTGTGCAAGAAGGCCACCTTAGGTCTCCTTGAGGACGTTGATCTTGGCGCAGATCTTGAGGGCTGGGCCCAGCTTGATGTTCATGGCACTCATAAGATGTTCCTCTTTAAGTAATAAAAGGGCCTGTCCATCAATCTCCTGGGAACGAAACTCCTCTGCAATCTCTTGACAGCCTAGAAGAAAATGGGAATATGTATGAGAAAGTGTAAGGTAGCACCACATAGGAGGGGGAAACTCGATGAAAAACATGCAAACGTAGCAATGGTTAATCCCAAAGTACGTGTCCTAAATTCAGTAATATGAAGATTTGAGATGGCAAGCTTTGGAAGAAAAGGAAATCAATCGGCAACTGGCTATTTAAAAGAAAGCCAAGATCATGGAGGAACTAAGTTCCAACCAGAGAAATAACCTCATTCAAATAGCCTTAGGAGGGGGAAAGGGTGGGGACAAAAATAAATGTTTTCTTTTTACACTGGCAAGAAAAGTTCAAATGAGCCTTTGTGACACTTGTTTAAGAGCACAGAACTCAGACAAATAGCAAGAAGGGCAGGGTGATTTCTGGAAAAAACCATCCCTTTGTCAAGAACAGCTCATAAACATTCATTCTAATCCCCCTCTCCACTGAAAAAGTATATCCATAGTAGGTGTCACAATCACATAAAAATGTGCTTTATCCAAAAATTAATGGTAAGAAAGCTGAATCATAGGAGATGAAATACATTGAAATTGCTGACATAACAGAGGATGACAATCCAGATGGAATTAGTAGACGAGCCTGTAGGCAAGTAACTTGAATAATTATCAAAAAAAGTACAGCCTTCAAGCCTCTACTGCTTAAAAGTCAGTTATGTTCCCTGTTCTCAAGGCCTGTGTGAAGAACTCAGGAAAACTAAGTATATATGTGACCTGAGTTCTTTTGGATAGGCCCTCAGTACCTTGTAGAGAAGCGATAAACTCATACACCTCCTCTACACTCCAACGGCTGGGATTGCTGGACAGGAACACAGGGTTGATGCCGTGTAATTCTGGGGTAGGTGGAGCTGTATTGGGGTTCCCCAGGTCTCGATCTCCATGCCCCACTCTCACTGATAAAGGCCCAGGAGATGTTGGAGAGAGTGCTTCATCATAACTGGAATTATCTGAACCCCGGCTAGAGTCCTCTTGACCCTATAAAGAAAACCGAAAAACAGTGAGGTCATGAATAAGTTTCCTCTGCCCTCCCCAACCCCCATGGGTTTGGGTTCCTATCGGGCATGGAGGAAAACTGAATCTCACCACAAGTGAGGTAATTTGTACTTCATTTGCAAATGCCCAGTCAGTCACCTGTCTACTCTCAAGTGCCTTTCAAGTATAAACTATCAACTCTTGATTCTCCCCTTCTACCAATGATCTAGATTTTCCCTACTCAAACGTAATGTAAGGATTAATGGATGTATAAACCAGTAATCAGAGGAGAGAAAAAAAACTCAGGATCTTGGAATCTGGAGTAAGGCAATCAATGCAAAACCCGAGTTCTGATCTCACACTATTTAGGCCCATTTTAACGGTGGCACTGGGACAGCAGCTCACCCGGTGTCGCTTGCCCTGGATCTTGGCACGGGCGATGTCAGAGGAGCTGCGGCGGGGTCCACGCCGACGAACACGAGCATAATTGGCTTCTTGAAACTCTTTCATTTTTTTCCTCTTCAGCCGAAACTGGTGGCTACAGCTCACATTATACCTACAGATCAGGCACATGTAGGAGATCAAAGGTGCTACAGAAACTACCTTGTTACCCTAAGCTTGTGTACTGGTATTTTAAGAGCTGGTTTGGGGAAGACTATGAAAACAAAGGAGACACTCAAGTATCAGCTGTGAGAGTGATGATCCTAGGGAAGGGCTATAACACTGATGAAAAAACCACTGCTGAAAGTGAGGGGGGTGCCCAGTACCTCTTGGCACAGGTCATGGAGCAGAATCTCTTGGAGCCTCGAAACTGGTCTGCAGGGGCGTACTTCCCACAGTACTCGCACTTCAGGAGATTCGCCTTCTTATCTGGCTCTGAAAAACAAGGCCTCACTCAAAAGCTGCAGGGGTTTCTGCTGCTGCTCAAACCGTCAGTAGGCTCAGAACTGGACGCTAATTACTCAGAATTTGCCCCCAAAGACCTACACCACCCTAAAACATAAAGTTCAAATTCGAGAATTCCAAAGGCACGTTCATTTTAGTCTTCCTATCCTTAAGCTAGACTGTTTCTATTTTGATTACAAATTTTATCCCAATCACACCCTCAGATTTCAGCCAAGACTGCATTTCTGAACAGGAGAGAGGAACTAATTACTAATGCCTAGAAAGATATCCCTCCCCGACAAAGTTCCCAAAAGCAGAAAGGAAATGTAAATACGAGTCTTTAAATATAGATTATAAAACCTAAAGAGAACTGGAGATTTAGAAATATCTTATTTTATTTAGATTATCTTTTGAAAAATATACCCTTATAGTAAACTAGAGGTCCGGTGCACAAAATTCGTGCACTCAGAGGATGGGGGGCTCCCTCAGCCTGGCCTGCACCCTCTCACAGTCTGGGAGCCCTCAGGGAATGTCCAACTACCACGGAGGTGGGAGAAGCTCCCACTACCACCGCTGTGCTCACCAGCTATGAGCCCAGCTTCTGGCTGAGCGGTGCTCCCTCTGTTGAGTGCATTGACCACCAGGGGGCAGCTCCTGCATTTAGCATGTGCCCCCTGGTGGTCAGTGCACATCATAGCAAGCGGTCATTCCACCATTTGGTCAATTTGCATATTAGCCTTTTATTATATAAGATAATTTAACAGCTTACTTTAGCCTGATAAAAATCTCCCTAATCCTGTGGAATTCCTTTTGTGTGATTCTACATATTCTAGTATGTGATATAGTTTCTGTGTCTGGATGGACATTATATAAGTCCCACTTTAAACTGATGATTACTATTTTATACTGAGTCTTCAAACACACCTGCATGAGCCTCCTTCCCCAGACGGGTCTCTAAGTAAATACTTACCAGCAGATGGGCTGTCCCCTCCCAAGGGGCCACATGACTGGTTCTCATTCAGCCCTGTCAGGAGGCCAGTCTGTAAAGGCTTCTCAGACTCTTTCAGTAACTGAGAACAACCCACCTGTCCCAGAAGAAGGTCACAGTTAAGTTAGCCTAATTCCTTTCTGCTTCTCCATAGCTTTCCCAGCGTTTCTCACCATTAAGTCTTTGCCTGGATTTCTAAGCTAATGGTCAAGTCTGGTTCAGAGAGAATCATTTTCAATACGGGAATCAAGAGTCTCTAAGAGGCTTTTTTCAGACAAACACTGGAGAACAGAGTCTTACCCTGGCTCCCTGTTTTGTCCTTTTCCTTCCTAAGTTGAGGGAATGCACTAGGAGTCAAGACACCTATGTTCTAGTTTTGCAACTTGTGGTACTTAGAATAGTCCATTAACTTTCTACCACAATTTTCTTCATTATAAACCAAACCTAGTTTGTCTAACACAGGGGTCCTCAAACTACGGCCCGCGGGCCACATGCGGCCGGCCGAAAACATTTATCCGGCCCGCCGGGTGTTTTTGCCGCCGCTGCCTGTTGCTTAGCAGCCAACTAGTTTTTTTTTAAACTATGGTCCGGCCCTCCAATGGTCTAAGGGACAGTGAACTGGCCCCGTTTAAAAAGTTTAAGGATCCCTGGTCTAACAAAATATTACAGCTTTCAAGGTCACCTCCTGCCTTTTCTTCTCTTCTTCCCAAAACTTTCATTTTCTGATCCACATATTATTCTTTTTCCCTTCCTTTTACAACTCACCGAATGAACAGCAGAACTGAACCATTCTCTAGTAACTAACTAGTTCTGAGCCTTCTGATTTAGTGGCATTTGAAAAGGCAACAGTCAGTCCAAGTCCCCACCTGAAAGCCCCATCCTCCAGCCCTGCCCTCACCGGGAAAGGTTCTGCTCCTTCCTGGATGACAAAACCTTCAATGATGTGGGTGAGAATCTGGGGCTTCACAATGGCCTGTGGGGGCTTTGAGTCGCCCATCTGTCTGGACACCATGGCTAGTG